CATCCAAATCTCTTGGCACAATCCCTATACAGCTCAACTCATCCCTACAATCCTCCTCGCAGGTTAAAACGGCCGTGGCCCCGTGACCTTTTGTAACATGTATACATTGGAGTTCTGGCAATGGCCAGATTCTCCACTCAAGTTATGAGTGTCTGTGGCCCTTTCTAAATCTCCTGAAGCCTCTCTTTCCCTCCACATGTGGGGGGACCAGTATGGTTCGGAGTTCCCATGGCCGACTGTAAATAGTGTAAATAGGCATGCCTGCTTCTAAGATGTTTATTTTTTTTTAAAGATAATTTTAATTCAATTTTATTCATTTATTTTTATTCTATTATTTATGTTTTCTTTCTTCACTATGATATTTTATTTTGTTCTTATTTAGCTTTATATTATTTTGGAATTACCTTATTTATTTATTTATTTTTTTAATTTGTAAATATGGTGTGAATGTGCTCTCAGAACTCTATTATAAATGTCCGTTATTGAGACGGATTGTAATATTTATCAATAAGCAAATAATCCAAAAAAAAGAATAAAATTTCACAATGATATAAATATTATACTAACATAAAATTAAGGATTTCCCGATAAACAATTAGAAGAATACGTGGCAGTGAGGAAATTTTGTTTTATTGCAGGTGGACTAAAAGCTACATCCATCCTAACTAATAAAGACAGATCCTCTTTTTCTTCTTTATCCAGCTGACTCCAGATCTTAACGTTGATATATCAGCCTGAGGCGAGGGTTGCCTGGACTTCTTATGGGATTAACTCTATCTTCTCTCCAGCTTATCCACCTTAGCTTTCAACCCTTGCTCCTTAAATGACCTTTCAACTGCCGCCATTGTGTTCCCATTACCACCATTACTCAGTGAAACATTTTATAATTTAAAAATCAATTATTAATTAAGTAAAAGGACGCTGCCTCATACACTTCATGTGTATCATCAAGTGCATATGATTAACCGAATTACATGTTATTTTTTTTTAGACAACAAAAGAAGCAATCACTAAAAAGAACCAGTGAAAAATATTATGACTTGTTAGATAAAGTTTTGTTATAAAGAGCCGTTTTCGAGAAAACTCTGAATATGAATCGGCACTGGTAATTTGATTTCAGCAAAGAAATTTTGTTATCACATGTTATATTGTTACCTAAAAGACGTGATTTTAAGTTTCGTTCGACTTTTTAATTTTTGGTTTATTATTGTGATCGACCGAAAAATTCAAAAACTTAACCCCCTTTCAAAATTTGAGGTTTCACGTTTCAGAATGCCTAGAATTCAAAAAACGAATACAAAAATTTTTTTACGCCGTACATCGTCCGCATATTTTCTCCGTAGCTACTGTACCAATTTTTTTAAAATTTTTATATACAATCAGAGGTCACCCGAGGTTAATCCTCCTTCATCGACATTAATATCTGCCCTTTACTTTCAAATTGGCGGCCGAAAACCTGCGTTACTATAGACTGTAGCTCCTAAACGAATATACAGATTTTAATGAAACTTCGCTAATGTCATTTTCTCGACGCCCTTTAAATTTATTTATATAACATACTTCAACGAAAAGAAGCTGGAAAAAAAGTTACGAGGGATAGTAAAATTAAATTCTGAATAACTCGAAAAGTTTATACTTTTTTGTCGATATTGTATGTCGATATATGGTTTTTTAGAAATTTACAAAATTTCCTAAAAAACAAAAAAAAAAAATCGTTAAAATCGAACAATTAGGAGCAAATATATGGTCTCCGGTTTTTTAAAATATTTTATACTCCAAATGTTATATCCTTGGTTTGGTTTTTAAATTTTGAATGTGTTACTGAAGTAATGCTATTCTTTTAGCATATTACTAATGATTAAAAAAAAAAAGTTTAGTCCAACATTTGGAATCACCTTTTGTTTATTTTTCTTTGTAACTCGGAAGATAATGTTACTTTTGGTGTATAATTGTTTGGAAATAATAAACCATTGTGAAATAATTTGCAGCGTTTTTGCTATTCTATTCATGTATACACTGACCATTTTGTGAAATTTGGTTATTTGTATTCAATTAAGGATAACTAAAGGTATAGTCTTAGCTCAGCCAAACTTGATGTTTTAGTAGTAAAACGATAGGTAAAAAAAAAAAATAATAAAATTAGTTAAGGTAAATGACTCAACATAAAACTTTTTCATTTTGATAAATTTATAATATAAACGTCGAGAAAGATACACAGTAAGGAATAACTCATTTTAGTTTGCTACTGATTTTTACGGGATTTGTTCGTTATATTTAGTAACTCAAAGTAACCCATGGCAGTGATTCGTATTGTGTGAGCTAATGAATAAGTGAGTAGAACATTTTAGGCAATGTCAAACCTTCATCAATCCTCTCATTGTTAGCCCGTTCAGTCGAATTAACCGGAGGGTCGTCTAAGAAAATATCACTCTACAATCCACATCATCCCAAGCTCATACTAATACTAACAACTCTCATCTATCAAATTACGTGGAAGTTAAAGTTTCATACAACGAAAATATTTTACATTATTGGTAATACTCATCTTTTATTTTTTCCCTTCCGCGCCTTTCCGATTATACTTGTTTTTCCCCTAGGTAAATAGAGAGAGAGCGGAGAATTTATTAATACCAGAATAAAAAAAAAAAAACATAACTGAACTAGAAAACGAACTTAGGATTTAACTTAAATGTCTCTGCGGTTGATGAAAATGAGCCTCAAAGTACAATTCACTTTTTCGAAAATTGATCGAAAGCTTTAAAGCTTTTTTGTTTTGTTTTCCGAGAAGCTTGTAAATTAGATATAAGCGAAAATTAGACGAAAAACCTTATTTTAGCTCCTCATCCGCTGATCATTTTTATTTAAAATATATAATCTTTACTTTAACATTGTATTGAATTATAATTCAGATAAAACGTTTCGTTTCAGAATTTTCTTTAAAATATTGAAAAAATGTAAAAATTTGGTTCCGTATCTGTTTAACCAAATACTAGAACATTTATTTCACAAAACAAACACAAAGACAAATAAAAAAGAATTTAATTCTGTAAGTTCTTGTTTTACTCAAATTTTATCTACCACTTACTTTATGGGTTTAATACTTACCAAGCGTTTTCCTTTACTACTTTAGTAACACTATGCTATATTTTTAATACCATATCTTCACATAAAGTTTTTGATTTGTTATTCATTATATCATTTGCTATTATAAATGAATGTATCTCACTACTTTAAAATTAGTTTTAGTAGGTTACTTGATTTATTCTTTTATATTATTATAAAATTATATTCTACTGAATTATATCAAGTAAGATTTCATTAACTATTAATTACTTTTCATTAGTTATTATATAAAAAATAGTTTTCAAAAATTATATGGCTACTCTTCGTTACACGACTTTGTATGTTACACCCACATTCATACGATTACTTCCAGAAATTAATTTTCATTCTAAAAAACAGTTTTCCTTCTTTAATCAATTATCAAATTCTTCTATATTTATACTGAGTTTTTTTTCATTACTACTATGAATGAAAGACAGTTAATTATTTATAATAAACAAAATTAAAGACACTTTAGAAAAAGAAATTTTGAAATTTGTGCATTTAAGCCCTGTTATGTGACATCAATGTGAATAATATCTGGCTTATCTTTACGACCATTGAACAGTACATCGATATACAGAGTTCAATCAAAATCATTAAAGTCGTTGTCGAGAAAATTGTATACAATATGTACATTCATCCAGGGGACTCCGAATCAAGCTTTGTCCCTCAAATGTGGAAACAAAAGCAGGACTTCAGGAGATCCCAGTGCTTCCCAGACACTTAATTGTTATTGGAAGCCAGTGGAAACTGATGGAGAACACTAGAGCAATAGACGCTCAGGACTTGATTGGACAATCTGGCGATTGCCAGAACTCCAATACAGGCATATTTACAAAAGGTCACAGGACCACTGCCGTTTTAACCTCGGGGGAAGATTGAAGAGATGGCTGGAGCCTGATTGAGATTTTGCTACAGGGTTAGGATGATGAGTGAGGTTCTGGTGAAATTCGTCTGGGATTAGGTCAAGAACAAATGAGATATTAAGTTCATTATGCAGGGTTTTGTTGGTTACACAGGAAGAATCATCGACTATTGGTAAAAGAACTTTATACTGAAATAATTGAATGCGTTTGGTGCTAGAAAGGTTTGCTGTCCTCTATAGTTCTAGTCCGTAGGTCCAGATTTATATTAATATGTTAGTCTTATATTCCTAATCTTGAAATATGATTTATTATTTGTTATCTATATACTTATGCCGATTATGTCATTATTACCTCTAGAAGACAAGTCCTATTATGTGGAACATTCCAGAGTTTTGAAGAGATAGCGGCTAAACTGGGCTTTACATTTAATGAATACAAGACGAATTATATGAAATGCTCAAGAAGGGAAAAGGAAATGAATAAGGAAATATAACTTTGAGAAATCAAAACTTTAGGTCTATAAACCAATTCAAGTTTCATGGAAGTATGGATACATACAGTAACAAATAATGAGTGAAATAAAGGCCAGGACAGAAGCAGGAAATATATGCCATTTCTCACTGCAAAGGGATTTGAAATTTAGTTCACTCTCTAAAAGAATTGAACTTCTGATTTTAAAAACCATAGTAAGGCCAGTGGTTATATATGGGTTTGAAACTTGGATCTTAACCCAAAAATCAGAAAGCATGCTCAACCCTGAATAAACAAGGTTTTATCGGGAACAAAGAAGTATCAAAAACACTTTCTTGAATCTTTGACTCTTTCCATATAATCCAAATTTTAACACCAGCCATTGGAAATGTATTAAGTCTAAGTTTGCAATAGAAATATCAGGTCGTAACTAAGTGTTGAGCCTTCTGAGGATAACATCGTGGCATTTCAGGTGAGATGGTTTGGCAATTTTTCAAAATGGCAAAATAGATTGGCGAAGGTCGAATCGCAGAGATCAAGGGCAAGAAATGTTGAAGCTTAATCCGGAGCTCGCTGATAGAAATGGATTGGAATGAGGAAGGAGAAGCTGGATGAGGTTTCTACATTTAGCTCTACCGAAGGGATCCTTGTATTCCTATGCGGTAGAAGAGGTCCTGATTAAATAAATTAATTTCTATAATAATACTTGTTTATTTAATACATAATAGAGTCATAATGTTACCTATATTCTCAGATATGGTGACGATGACGAAGAAGATGAGAGCAGTTAGTAAAGGTGCGGAAGTGAAGGCCCTCCATTGTGCCGCTAGCACATTCATCAGGAAGTCACCTAGGCCCTTGGTCCATTGCATCATCGAATCCTTCCCAGGCAGCTTTTCTTTAGTCAGCATCAGCTTGTATTCCATGGAATCTTCCATCATCAGGAGTAAATTTAAACTACTATTGTTGTTCTAATTTTGTTTGTATTGTTCATTTTTTTACGATCTAATTTATTTATCATTTATGTTTTGTCTCTAAGTCGTATAATGGAACTTATACATCATATGTAATATGTAGCATATGTTTCCTGAGATTTGGTTGATTATATCGATTGACTAAGACAAATAGAAATATTCCTAAATGTGGAGTCCTGATAGAAGATCTGAAGCCTTCGAAGTTATAACGGGAGTGGTGTTGAGAACTCTGAGAACCTCACAATTATCACGTAAAATGGAGGTGTGTGCATCAGAACGTATAATAAATTCTTGGAATAGGCAGATGATACAGCAATCGTCAAGAGTCATAAAGAGAAACTTCAGATAATCGCTAAGGCTTCGACAAGAGTAACAAAACGAATCGGCCGCCATATTCAGTTCAGGTTTTTCCAAAAAATAAAATTAAAATTCGCTATAATCATGTTATTTTTAAAACTTTCAGATATTTTTAAAATTTGTTTCCACCCTTCCATGCCACTGTGGCAACATGCTTGTATGTATTTTGACCTCCTTTTATTCACATCGCGATTTACAATTTCTTTACTGCAGTTGAATAATATGAATATAATATGAGTGTTAATTAGGTTTAATTACACAGCTGCTTTCGACTTCCAAATGACATTGGGATCTTTTCAGAAGGATTACCACCATCTTGAAAAGATAAGTAGGATGCTAATGACTAGTTTCGAGGATGGTCCTGCCGATCGACAATAATACCGAAACCTAAAATCAATAGATCCAGTAGTCTTGGAGAAAAACCTCGGACGGACGGATTTTTTTTTTATTCTAATTTCGGTTTCTTCGTATCTTGATACATAAAATCTCAAAATTTGAGAGTGGATTATCTGTTTTTTTGGTTTTTTTTGGGGCGGTTACAAAGATTGATCACTGAAAATAATAAACCAAAATGTTTATCTAAATCCAACGCTCTGCATTGGTTTTAAATGCGTCGATGTGTCGGCAATGAATGAGTTCATCGATATATAATGTATCATACTCCTATGACCAGATTGTGAGTGTGTACAAGTATATGTTTGCTTGTTACAGATGTTGAGTTCATGAAGAGTACTATTTATTCCTAACAGCTCGGTGAGATATGAACAACAATATGAGGAGTACTACTGTACAAATGTCATTCCACTTTATTCGGTGGCACAAGATCTAATGATCACAACATAAATGGAACCCCGAGAATGATGGAGTGTAGATGGAAGTGGCCTGATCGTCTACTAAAGCCTCGACCTCAACTGAAGATGATCTGTTGGGATTTTGTTTACATATCTAGAGCGATGGGGTTTTGTAAGAAACGGTGTAATTAAAGCTTATTGACGCTCCGATTTCAACTAAAAATAACCAATTGTGAGTTTGTCGAAGTCGTGAGTAGCTATCTAAATAAAGGGAGATTATGCTGTGAACTCGTTGTCAGTCCTCAGCTTAAAGCTTTTAAGTCTTAAATCACATCTACAGCTTAATTATTGGATTATGGGCCACCCATCAAATCGGAGTGACACTTGTACAGTACTACCATATGGGGGCAATGAATGGATTTTTTATATTTTCAGAAACGGTTTCTGATTTTTTTTTTAACTTGAAATTTTGTATTCACACCTGTCAAAAATAGTATTGACAATCAGTGAATTCTATGATAGGGCAAAATCTAATGATGAATGAGGGAGGGGGGGGGGCTGTATTCATAGGTACTTTCTCCAGGCGTGTTATCTACATTAGGCGAGAGGGTCTCTCATCCACTTCCTCTCCAGTCTTCTATAGACGTGAACTGGTGCATGTGTGTAGTGGCAATGCCATTTAGAAGTATTTTAGGGTGCCCTTATACGTTGTTGTGGATTCCTATATTGTAGTGTTTGTTAACAGTCGCCATATGAAGGTCAATATGTAAGGTTCTGTTGCTAACGTACCAAGGTGTTTTTTTTATTGTTCTGAATGTTTTTGCTTTAAAAAATCGGCGTTTTTTATGTGGGTCTTTTTAGCAGTACCAAATATCTGCGATGCCTAGGTACAAGTAGGTTTTAGTAAGTAATTGTATGTATTTCTGAGTGTTTCCTGAGAAGTGAATTTAAAAGTCTTAGTCTTTGGTTTAGTATTTTTATTATTTTTTTTTTTTAGATCTGTGGGCCCCATGTTGTTTTACGGTCAAATTTCAGTCCAAGATAGTAAACGCAGTGTGTCCGCGGAATCTGTATATTGTGAAACAAAACTGTAAGGTATGCTCATGTCGAAGAATAAAAGTGATATGCTATGATTTGTCTTGATTTAGTTATTTTGTTAAATACTGTTTTAGGGTATGTAAGATGTATGTATATTTGATTTTTGAGCCTTGCTAAAATTGCTGTGTCATCTACATATGTCGCTATCAAAATTCTGGAACTACAAAGTATGTCATGGGTGTGTGATATGTATGTGATAAGGAATAGTGGAGTGAGTACTGAAACTCGGGGTACTCCTGCTGAGAATGACCTGATGGAAGATAGTTCTGAACCGTGTCAGACGGAATAAAATCTGTCGGATAAAAAGAATTGTAGAATTAGATATCTACAGTAGTTGAGCCGAAATTATATGCAACTGGCGTATTTCTGGATGTTGCTCAACATTTGACAGAGTTTGATTCAGAGCGTTCTCTTTAAACTCAAGGCATTACGTCCACCTACCTACAATTTTTTAAAAAAGTAATAACCATTTGTCGTATCTTATTATTCTTCAGTTTTTGAGCCATCTGTATACATATATTCCTAATAGGAATGTATCAGTAGAAAATTCTTGAAATTGTCTGTTTGTGCCTAGATTTTCTCGGAAACGATAAAACCTATTTTGTTGTAGTTTTTAGAATAATATTTTGGGGCCTAATTCGCAAAGTATACATTCTATGATTTTTTATAGTAAATTTATATACTGTGAAATATGATTAAATTCTCTATAAAACAAATGAAAAATCGTCGGAATCAAACGATTATTAGGAATGATACAACGTATTATATTTCACACACACATTTATTACTTTTTTACCCCTACTCGATATGGAGAGCATTGCGATTGGGTCAAATTCGTGTAGAGCTGTTTCCAATGAATCTTTAAGTTCCAGAGACTTCTGAATTAAAAAAAAAAATACTTTTTTAGAAAAGCTATTAAATTTCTGAAAAAAAACTAATAAAAAAACAAAAACTAGTTTTAGCAAAGGTACTGTATATGGAACTTTATAAGGTTTTTTCAACTATGGCTCACGTGCCTGTTTACATGGCTTTAGTTCATTAAAGCAAATCCCACTATAACCATTTCTCTAATAGGTATGAATGAACAGATTTAATCTTAGCACTTACTGCCCTTTAATGTGACAGATTGTACTATTTACTATTCGAAAAATTTAAAAATAAAAAAAATGGGTTTCCTTGAAAGTCACTCTATTATAATCGTTCGTTTTTTTATGGACATATTTTTAAAGTTGTATTAATCTGTACATATATTATTACAGTAAGGCTCGAAATCGGTTTTGTGCCAAATATATGCTCCTGTCATGCTCAAATACCATAAATAGGGTACCGTTGGATTCAGAATTTCACGGGGGTTAGCGAATCGTATTCTCCACTTTTGTTTTTCTTTCTAAAATAAATAAAGTCGATACAACCATTTTGCTAGGCTTCAATGCCTGAACGGTGGTAGGTATGTAGACCGATACGGGACAAATTGGATCATGAAGATTTTGATGCGTACAGAAAGATCCGGATAGTTCCCTTGGAACTATCGGATCCTGCGTTTTTAAGACCAAAAACTTACTATTTTCGAGATAAAGCAAGGCATGGGGTTCGCATCCACACAACCATACATTAATTGTAGTACTGTCATTGTATACATGTCTCATTTCGTCGACTTGATGTCTCTATGATCGAGAGAGGAGGAGTTTATATTATTTATCGATGGTGTTTTTGATCGGCAAGCCATATCATCGTTAATTTTTTACCAAATCTCAAGATTGAGCCACCAATATCGAAGGCTTCCTTCTCCTTCAGGCGGGCAAAATAGTCGAATCACCCCGAAAATTTAGGCAAACAAGTTATGAAAGAAAACAAAATTTATTTGCGAATAACTAAAAAATTACACCCTGGGACATGTCCGTGATTATACTAAAGATTACTTAATTCCCTACAAAAGGAAAAAAAAATCATCGAAATTGGACAATTTTTATCAAATATACAGCTTATTGAAATTTGTAAACATGTTGGTTCCTAACATTAATGAAGATTTAAATTAATTTTTATTTCTTTTGTGGATTATATTTATCGATAAAGTAACAATTGAATTCTTTATCTTTTGATACGTTGCATTATTTTATATGCTTATTAATTTGGCATTTGATAACAATATGCTGTGCGAATGTTTCGCACGGGCCTACTAGTTTATATAAAATCGGTAGAAAAGTATTTATCCAGATTACTTGACAGACGTTCAAAATTACCTTCAACTAACAAACTAACCCTTTATAAAGTTTTACATAAAGTAACCATTTTAATACATCGTCAGAATCAAATCAAATGGTTTAAAATTTCCTAATGATGAAAATCTATTTTTGCCTGTTTTTTTTTTTCAATTACTACCGTCATACTGATGTTAGCAATATGATTTTTTAAGCTGTTCAATTATATTTCGATGTAGATATCCTTATTATCCTTATATATGTATCATCATCATACAGTATGGGGTTGCCCGGTATATATTGGACCAAGGAGTATTTATGCTGGGATGAACCTAGATGGTAAAAACGATTAAAAAAAAAATAGTGGAAAGCTCCATGCAGCAAAATGAAAAACAAAAGCTGAAGATAAAGGTTAAGCCAGCTGGTTGAGGCGATAAAAGATCTAAAAGGTCTCTAAAGCCAACATAGAAAGAAAAATAAACGTTTGCTAAATCAAATAACTTATTTATAATAGAGATGGGATTATTTGTTTTATTTGATTACTATT